CGAATAACCTTAATAATCAATGCATCTTACAAACAACAACAACTCCCAAAAATGTGGAAAAGTGCTAATGTTACTTCGCTCCCAAAAGCCAAACCAATTCAAGACCTTACCAAACAATTGAGACCAATATCTCTCACACCATGTCTCTCAAAGTTAGCTGAGGACTTTATAGTATCAGACTATATAAAACCAGCAGTAACCAAGGTGATCAATCCCAACCAGTATGGAGTAGTACCAAGCTCCTCAACAACAATGGCTCTGATCAGTATGTTACATAATTGGACATTAGGTACAGATGGAAATGGGTCTACTGTAAGGTCGATTTTATTTGATTATCGAAAAGCATTTGATTATATAGACCATTCCATACTCGTCGACAAATTGTGTAATCTGGACATTCCAATTAGCGTAATCAATTGGATCATTAACTTTCTGACAGTTTGCAACGCGTTAAATTAGCAAATGATTGTTATTCAGACTGGGGCTCTGTTCCATCTGGGGTTCCCCTCAAGGCACCAAACTAGGACCCTGGCTTTTTGCATTGATGATAAACGATCTAAAACATGGGGCACCATCTTTTTGGAAATTTGTCGACGACACTACTGCTTCCCAAATTGTACCTAAAGGCAGTGTGAGTCATGCACAAAGTATAGCTGACGATGTAAATGATTGGTCCAAAGAGAATAGAGTACAATTACATCCTGACAAGTGTAAAGAACTGAGAATATCCTTCTCAAAACAAACACCAAATTTTCACCCACTTGTTATTAACAGCAACAAGGTTGAGGTTGTTAAGTCAGCAAAATTTCTTGGAGTTACGATCAGCAATGATTTGACGTGGAACATTCATATTGACAATATTATCAAAAAAGTAAATAAACCAATCTATTTTCTAATTCAATTAAAGAGAGCTAAGGTATCCCTTAAAGATCTCTCTCTCTTTTATATATCTTGTATAAGATCGGTTATGGATTATGGAGTAGTTAGTTTTTACAATACCTTACCAAACTACTTAAAGGGGTAGTCTGACCTTAACACAACTTTCGCTCATATGAAAGTATATATTGTTCTTACCTCTCTCGCGAAATCCTAGGTTTCCAATTCAAATTTAACTAGAGAAATACTGCCTTTAATGTGTGTACTTTTCGATCGCCATTGTGTACATGCAAGCGAAGCCGCAGTCCAGCAGCGGTTTTTCGTCGTGACGTCACTGCGCGGTGATCGTTGTCAACATAAGACAAAATATACTAGCAAAAGTAGAAATTACGCATAAGCATATTCATCGCTGCATTTTATTTTCTAAGTTTTAAAATTATTTTGCGCAATGGATACGGATTACTCAAACGATTCCTCTAGTAATTATTCTGGAAGCAGTGTTTCAAACTACGAAGAAATGATTAACGATCAAAACATTATTCAACCATATGCTTATGAGCCGATTGAAACAGACTCTAGCGACGAGCCTATGGACGACTCCGACGAAGTTCAGCTGTTGTAACAATAAATGAAGACTCAGCACAATTTGAGGGAATAGATACTCCGGACTGTATTACAGATAATCCTGTTTTTCGAAATCTTTGTTTAAATTATTGGGTATTACGACTGGCATGGAGTGAGTACAAACAACACTATGGTTCAAGAGCTGAAGAAGGACCTGAACACAAAAGACAAAGACATGTGGCTTACAGGAAACTGGTTCGATGGTGTTGGAATGTATTGGGCAAGGAAATTAGAGTACCACTACCATCTTTTGCTGTTAGCTACATTCGAGCACATTTCCAACCACCAGGTCTAGAAGAGGACTTTGTCTTTGAGGGTTTTAAATTCACTGATGAATAATAATGGTAATGTAAACTATTATAGCCATATTTATAAGTATCGTTAATGATGAATTACTAATAAATAAAAATATAAATTGGATTTAGTAAATGAGCAATAAATACAAATTATAATGGCCAAGCCAAACCAATTCTTTATTTGTGTTATGCAAGGATTTTGGTGTACATAATTAAAAAGTGCCTTTGCTAATGAATTTGCATAGCAAAACAAAAAATTTTGCTACTTTACTATTAGAGATTCTCTTATTATTAATTATAAATATTGGTATATACATAACTATTTTTTGGGGACTGTTTACCCATTCTTGATTTGTGTGCTTGTAAAACACTTTCTTTGTTTGGCTTTTCTATAGATGCAATATTTCTTGGAATGTTTGCTGGTAAAGAAATCTTGTTATGTACATTTTACATTAAAACAGCAGACATCTTCCATCATACCTTGCACAAAGAATATGACTTACTCACCATAATTGGCTTGGCTACCCAATTTTTAAGCCCTTTGGGAACATGATAAGCACAAGAGGAAGGAGGAAAATACTTTATTAAAAGTGCTTTTAGATAAAGGTATGCTTGCAAGAACCAAGTTGGCAGTGATAGACCACAATGTAAACACTGGCACAAAACAAGCACAAGTTCAATGTGGAAAGCAGCAAGGGGAAAAGTGATATAATATCGTGAAAAAATTGGGTAGCCAAGCCAATTATGGTGAGTAAGTCATATTCTTTGTGCAAGGTATGATGGAAGATGTCTGCTGTTTTAATGTAAAATGTACATAACAAGATTTCTTTACCAGCAAACATTCCAAGAAATATTGCATCTATAGAAAAGCCAAACAAAGAAAGTGTTTTACAAGCACACAAATCAAGAATGGGTAAACAGTCCCCAAAAAATAGTTATGTATATACCAATATTTATAATTAATAATAAGAGAATCTCTAATAGTAAAGTAGCAAAATTTTTTGTTTTGCTATGCAAATTCATTAGCAAAGGCACTTTTTAATTATGTACACCAAAATCCTTGCATAACACAAATAAAGAATTGGTTTGGCTTGGCCATTATAATTTGTATTTATTGTTCATTTACTAAATCCAATTTATATTTTTATTTATTAATAATTCATCATTAACGATACTTATAAATATGGCTATAATAGTTTACATTACCATTATTCATCAGCGAATTTAAAACCCTCATAGACAAAGTCCTCTTCTAGACCTGGTGGTTGGAAATGTGCTCGAATGTAGCTAACAGCAAAAGATGGTAGTGGTACTCTAATTTCCTGGCCCAATACATTCCAACACCATCGAACCAGTTGCCTGTAAGCCACATGTCTTTGTCTTTTGTGTTCAGGTCCTTCTTCAGCTCTTGAACCATAGTGTTGTTTGTACTCACTCCATGCCAGTCGTAATACCCAATAATTTAAACAAAGATTTCGAAAAACAGGATTATCTGTAATACAGTCCGGAGTATCTATTCCCTCAAATTGTGCTGAGTCTTCATTCATTGTTACAACAGCTGAACTTCGTCGGAGTCGTCCATAGGCTCGTCGCTAGAATCTGTTTCAATCGGCTCATAAGCCTATGGTTGAATCATGTTTTGATCGTTAATCATTTCTTCGTAGTTTGAAACACTGCTTCCAGAATAATTACTAGAGGAATCATTTGAGTAATCCGTATCCATTGCGCAAAATAATTTTAAAACTTAGAAAATAAAATGCAACGATGAATATGCTTATGCGTAATTTCTACTTTTGCTAGTATATTTTGTCTTATGTTGACAACGATCACCGCGCAGTGACGTCACGACGAAAAACCGCTGCTGGACTGCGGCTTCGCTTGCATGTACACAATGGCGATCGAACAAGAGGCAAAAATACACACATTTAAGGCATTATTTCTCGAGTTAAATTTGAATTGGAAACCTAGGATTTCGTGAGAGAGGTAAGAACAATATACACTTTCATATGAGCGAAAGTTGTGTTAAGGTCAGACTACCCCTTTAAAAACGAATTCCAACGTGTAGAAAAAAGAGTGATATCAATAATACTTCCACATAATAATTGTAAAATTGGGCTAAAAAAGTTAGATATGTCACTAATAGAATTACACCATGAAGATTTATGTAAACGTTATTTCCAGTCAATTGAAACAAATGAATGCCACAAATTAAGAAATTTACTGCCAAACAAAAATAACTGTAAATATAACCTGAGAAGTAAACATAAATATAAAGTTCCACTTGCTCACACCAGCAAAGCAAAGAATTCGTTCATCCTGTCCTTGTGTACATAAAGTTACACAAAAGTGGCCAGGTATGGAGTTTTCTTTGTCTCTGTTGGTGTTAGCGAGTACCATTTTTATAATTGTAAATTTAATAAATGTAAATACTTGGTAAAATTTTATTGTATTTTAGATATTAGATATTATTTGTTATTATAACTTTACTAATTTAGATATTTGTAATTCAGCCGCAAGGCTGCAATTAATATTTTAATAAACTACTTACTTACCTACCTAATTGGAAAAATTAGCAAAAAAATACTTGAAAGAAAAAACAATATCATAAAAGCCACTTCGCTGAACCAATGGAAAAACTCGTAATCTGTGATCAAGTGGTTCAACTCCATCAAACATAAAGAAAATCTCAATTTCATATCTTTCGACATTGTAGACTTCTACCTATGGCGTTCCGTTGCGGACAAAATTTCATGTCAGTATTGTCTAAAATTGACAATTGAAATTTTAAAATCGTATATTGAAACTTCAAAATAGTATATCGAAATTTAAAAATCGTACATCGAAATTTTAAAATCGTATATTGAAATTTTAAAATCGTATATCGAAAGGAAACGGAAATTTTAAAATCGTATATCGAAAGGAAACGGAAGTGTTCGACAAACTCTACCGGAAATATGACAATACAAACTCCTTTCCCCTTCACATGTGGCCGCAGAGCACGTGTATATTGTTATGGCGGAAAGCAATAAAGACGATGAGCTTAATCGAATAGTGAGAGCAGTTATAGGAGAGTTGAACAATCACGCAAACAACGCTAAAGTGGAGCAGACCTCTTCTCACTCAACAAGTAACAGAAGTACAAAAGAGGAAATATATAAAGCCTTTCAAATTCCTAGAGCAACAAGTATGAGTTTGACTGCCATCTAAACACAAGTCATATGAAGACTTGAAAAATTTATGGATGTTGCACTGAAGTATGGCTCACTTGGTTTGGAACTGGTGTAGTTAGACTCTATGAGCGATGTTAGTTATTGTTACAATAGTTATCTGAAGGTGAAAATGATGCACATCATCAAGTTCGAAGTCACTGTCCATTGAGCAGCAAGGAAACATGTTCAACAGCAGCTAAATAAGATTCGATTCTATGTGGATCATCTTCAGTTTGTCCCTGTCTTATCACAGTAAGGATCGAGTCCATTTGTTCATTGTTTAATCTAAGTTGGGTTTGCGGCACAACGACAACATGAGAAGGATCTTCTGCTACAGGCCCATCCTCAGAAATACCATAGGAAGAAAACGCATTGTTTCTAATAACATCATTAACAGCACTGTAACCAGAATGTCTCAACTCTACCATTCCCCTAACCCATATTTGTCGTGGTGAAAGGTTGCTTTTTGTTGTGACTGGATGGTTGTTCCATTGAGCCAAACTCTTGTAGAGCGATATTAATAAAGTCAATATAGACCAATTGAAGACAAAATAAATGAACCTCATTGACTGGATTAAAAACACCTCTATTTTCCAAAAACAAGAAAATGTTTAAGAACTTTGATATCACAATACGATTAACATCTCTCCACAGTCGTTCAATCCTTTGATTATGTACGGATGTGCCTGTGATGATACTCCCCCGATTTAGACCTCTTTCATTTAGCATATATCTCCCAACTTCAATATTTTCCAATCCAAGATGACAACGGACTCTTGACGGTAAATTATAGCACTGAACAGCATATTCAAACAAGCTCAATACTGTTTCTGCTCTGTTATTAGTTGATGCATGGAGATAGGTTACCAGCCTTGAGTAGCCATCTATGCCCCCATGGACAACTATGCGATATGGCTCAATCAATTTATGATTTCCATCAATATGCCTGCAAATAGGAAATGCAGATTTGAAAATGAAATATATTCAATGAAAATGTTTTGCCGTTTTCCTACGAATTAAAGCAAGATGGCCTAAACTGAGAGTAGTTACTTAATTAGATGAAATACAACAAACAACAATGTCACTATGTGTCATATATTACCATAAGGCGTTGGGGCATGGAACATTATAAGACCGTCTTATGATCCTTGTAGTATTCCTCAATGTAGAAATCACAGGGTCCACCCGATGCATAGAACGTAAAATGCGTTCTCTTTGAACATGAAGACCGCGGTGCCGCAAAGCTCCCTGTAACATTCTATATCCAATATTAGGAGTCATACAGATAATAGCGCGAACAATTGTGTCTAGCTGCGTGCCCGAGAAATCTGAAAATTGTCGTCCTTCCACTGTCATACCAAGCTCGTGACGTCGGCGACGCAGCGTCCTTTCAGACACGCCAAAAGCTCTTGATATTTCACTCCACTTAAATCCACTACTGCAGTTATTCAAAGCTTCTAGTTGCTTTTGGGTCATCGCAAACTTTGGTCTCCCTGGACCAACCTGCTCACTTCTCAAAGATTGATTATCATTAATTGCTTCGCGTTCACTATGGATGCTCCTGTAAAATATGTCTTCAAAACGTTGTCTGAGGAAACTCGTCCTATGACAAATATAGCACAGATGAGCAATAACCGCAGGAACATTTTCTGTTGTCGTTGTGTTTTCTGACATTTCCCAATTCAAACTTTCGGCCACACGAGAGCGCAGCGTAGACAGCGTTCTTTCGTATGCATCTAGTCTTCTGAAGTGGAACTCAGCTGCGTCGTAAGAACAACTATCAGCTGCAGTTGCTAGCAATTCAGCTGTTTCGATTAGCCTCAAAAGTGCTTCGAAGAATTCTTCGATGTTTGGAAGCCAATGAGACGCCATTTTTTCGTTTACGGATTCACTGTACACGGAATTATTACTCTTCCGGTTGAGTTTGTCGAACACTTCCGTTTCCTTTCAATATACGATTTTAAAATTTCCGTTTTTCCTTTCAATATATGATTTTAAAATTTCGATGTACGATTTTAAAATTTCGATATACGATTTTAAAATTTCAGTGGATACGCGGATACGTGGATACGCAGTGACGAGTTTAAAGAGCGAGGCATAAGATAAGAAAACTAGTACCTATATAAAGAAAGTTAGTTGAAACTATATTTTTTAAAGATTGATTCTAAAAAGCAATTACAAACATATTTGCAAAGAAAATGATTAAGAATATATAATGGCACTTGTTAGGAATACGAATTTATAAAATTGCCATAAATGTAAAACGCAAATGCGAATGAAAACGCGAACATTATGATAAGTTCAAATATTCTTGACTGACCAGTTGTTGATTACTTATCAACTGCCGAATGCTTTGGGAAATGGACCTATGACATGGCTTACGGTAGTTTTCCTCAAAACCATACTTGGAACATAATACATCACTAGGCCATTCTATGAACTGATTGGGTGCTTTCTTTACAAACACAAGGGTTGGTTTTGACGATCTAGCAACTCTTAGCGTGATGATTTGGCCATAGTTTGCCTTTAAATGCTCTACTGCATTGGTAAATTCGTGTTGCGATATTCCTCTAGCGTAAATGAGCGGAAGGTGACTAAAGGACCAGGAAAGGTCAAAATGCCTGATTTCACGTTCATCATGCTTGGTTGTACTCTTTCATCATCACAAATATCATTGGTGATGGACTTTATGAACTGGAAAATAAAATAAAAACGAAAGCCAGTCAGGTTATTTGTTTGTTTGACGCGACAATTAAGTACAGACAAATGATTAGTTATTAAAATTTTAATTTTACCTCGCACAAGACGAATTTTTGGCTCTCAAGATGTTCCACAAACAGCTTTGCTTTTTCGAGCGTCTCTTTTGAAATTACCGAAGGGATGATGATGTCATGACCAGCCAACACACACTCTAAACTTTTCTCGAGGACATGTAACGCAGTAGCGATTCTTGGGAGAAGATCTAACTTCTTAGATTTAGGGGGTGAGAATTCTCCAGCGATGATAGCTTCGTAGATTTCCGCCGTAAGGGTATCCCTTTCTTTATTCAATAAGCATTCGGCTTGTTCATGCAAAGTGTATTAAACTTGATTAAATTTATGGAAATGAAGAATTGCACAGTAAAGTTCATCAAAACTGTCAATGGCCTCGGTTTCTAGATATGAGATAGACCGCTTAATATCCGTTGAATGCGGGCACAGAGCTAATGGGAAAGAAATTAAAAACCGATTGATCAATCTTTGACCCTTGTCCATTCTTGCCAAAAGTTTGGCAGCATTTGGTAACTGGGTGCTTCCGAGAACAGTAAAAGGCGTATTTCGATCAATTTCTCTTGTCTCCTCTGTTGCATAATGAAATGATACTCTTTTGCCAGAAAAAAGTTTACACATCAACATAGCAACACCGGAGCACGTTTCGTCATCTGATTTTAGCAGTTTGTTGAGCACATCGTAAACTTCAGGGGAAACGATAAATCCACTGCCAAATCTTGATAAGTGTTTTACCAAGCCTGAAGAAGTTGTGCGATCAAGAAGACAATTTTTGATTTCATCTTCCATTATTTTCTGCATTGGTTTGATACACGCATGTTCAACAGCTGCTGATTTGCCTGTACCAGGGTAGCCAACAAAAATGAAATAAAGATTAGTGGGTTGCACATGATTCATCGCTAAGATTGTTGCTTTGGCTTTGGCGAGCAACAATCTTAGCGATGAATCATGTGCAACCCACTAATTTGAAGGGGTGATAACTTCAATTTTATTTGTGTGATCTCCATTTTTGTTCACGAATTCCACCTTTGAACCATTCAGTGGAATTCGTGAACAAAAATGGAGATCACACAAATAAAATTGAAGGACATTTGCGCCAGGCCAAGGTAAAGTTTCCACCATTTGGCATATGAAAATATATGTTCTCGTCGTATCTGGCAGAGTTTCTGTGGAGATACGAAAATAAAGGCAAAGACTTATTCGAAGTTTTTTTGGAAGATGCTAAGAAGATATATGGGAACTTTGAATGAAAGAATAAAAGAATAAGATTGTAAGATGTAAATATATGTTAAAGTTGAAGCGATTAGAAATTCAGCAACATCAAGTCAATTTAAAGAAAATGTATATATAAGTTTCCAGATGGCATGTTGTATGTAAAGCCTGTTGAATAGCCATTTATATTCTTGGCCTGTATATATGGCTCTGCCTATGTTAAAAATTAAATATAAGATTTTGATGACTGCATATCCGCATATCCACTATAAATTGACTTCGCAGTGACATTGAATTTTCTTGTATTTAATTATTACTGACCGCATAACTGTGTATGGACTACAAACCGTAGCCCGCACTGTTAACTGCTGACCGCGCATCCATTAAAAATTGGATTTGTAGTAAGTGGACGGGTATTCTATAATCTAGCCGATACTATTATGTAGAAAAACATAAAAAAGTGGTAAACAAAAATAATTTATCCTTGTCAAACTAACCTAAGCAGCGAAATAGCAAGGCATCTCGTCACAGAAGGAAGACATTTATATTAGTATTTAAGCTGTTAGTTTTGTTTATGTTTGTTTAGGGGACACATTATATCTTATTTGCATGCTTATAATACATCACTTCTATTTATAGGTATATTTCTTTATACAGATCGAATTGATTATTAAGTACAACTTATGAGACTTCTTTGCTGTGTCTAAACTGCTTTGCTTACCAGAAATAAATGCTAACCAGTTCTCCTAATTGTGAGGAAACACTATGCATCATCCCATTAAACCACATTTGGTTTGGAGAATTTTTTTCAGTTCTCAACAGGCTATTTTGAATTGGGTAAGAGCTTCATTTATACTGGGTAAATACGCCAACTGTGAAGTTAATACATGTCGGGCTGGAATAATAAAAATTTTGTCCAATTAATAGGTCAAAAAAAGAACTTCAGAATGGCATCAAATATAAACTTGCATGCAGTTCAATTGCATTATTTCTTTAATAAGGGATTTCACGGTTATGTTGGCCATCTTGTTTGGGGGCTTAACAAATGTGTTTACTAAGTAACGTCTGTATATAGTATCTGTCATGCTATATTTGGTCGTGTGTCTTAAAACTCGGTTTTTTTGAAATCCTCGTTTCATATGGATTTCGTACATAAAATTGAACAAGATTCTTAGTTACACTTTTAAAAAGGTAGGTTGTATGTTTTTTCTTTTCATAAATACGTTTTTGAGGTTTTTTATGCCATTCATACTTTGTGATATTGCACATGGTCATGTTATTTCATTGTCCCACAATCAGGTGATTGTCAAATAATTAGTTCTTTTGAATGCTTTTAGAGATTATGAACTAATTTTAAGATAAATATAGAGCATTTTAAAATAACATTTGTCTATTAACAAGAAGGGTACTGATGTTGATGTACTTTTATAGTTTTGAAGATTTTAAGAGAATTTAAATCAGCGCTGGAAATAAGTGTTGTGTTGGTGGTTGCGCTAATGATCATCAATACCTGAAAAGTATATTGCTTACTCTCATCCCCCCCCCCTCGGGTTTCACAAGCCAAAAAATTATCAAGAGGTCATCACATCAAGGTGCAAACAGGTGCCGAAAGAATGAAAGGGCTTTAAAATAGTCATGGCCAGCAATTTCGGACTGAGCCCCAGTCCGCATGCAGACAATCCATCTACCAAAAAACCCTTGTTATACAAAACGTTAATTCAATTTCTGTATATGCCTAATTGAAATTGAGTTCATACAAGGTTGGCAAGTAACATGTTAGGCTTACATGATTGTTAAACAAGCATTTTATGTTTCCAATCGAAATTACTTTTTAGTAGCATTACTTCGGTAGACTTATATATGAAACATCAGGAATATCCATAAAAATACAGAAATTCATCTGCCAGTTTCTTGTTTTCTTTAACAGATATGCCATTTGCCAGTTAACTTACTAAAATATTATACGCTCTAATAGTAAGTCAACGATGGCAGGCCGCTCAACAATTTGAAAGTGAATTAAAGACACAAATTCGTTCGAAGTGTGTCATGTTTTGTATCAAAATAATTGCCTTGATTTGTAGAATCAGGAAGCTGCAATTGCTTTTAGGATATATGTAATACAGTATTATTTACAGGTGATTCTTTTCTTCTCTTTACTACTTCCAGATTAAATTCTGCGCAGGTGCGAATTTTCAACATGTAAGCAAACCACTACTAATGTCCAATGTCCTTTATAAATATTGTAATTTTGAAAAATTTTAGAACGATATTGTTCTGGAAAACATCACAAGAGCAATATGTTAATTCAGACGAAGTTGTCTTTACAGTACATATAACCAATAAAGTTTTAAAGAATTGGTATGAACTAATAGTTCGTCAAAGGACGAGCCTCCTACAAAGCTATGTAGAATTACTCAATCTTTTCCTTGCTCAAAGCTACGCTGGAAGAGCAGGTCGAAGAATTTGTTGCACAAAGCAAAAGCATAACAATCCGTTGTTGTGAACTTTTGAAAGGTAGCGATTTGGAGAAGGAATTGATTGAACTAAAGGAAAAAGTAAACGTGTTAGACGGGAAAATGAGGAGTTAGAGAAACATTGTATTGAATTGTATGAAGGAATGTTGCAAGTCGAAACTCAAAGAAAAACCTGCAATGATGCATTATCGCAAGCTCAGTTAAATCTTAAAATGGGATAGGCGATACCAGCTTTTTTATTCAATAAGACATTTTTTCGATATTTGCTCCTTTTTTTCGATATCGATATTTTACCAACTAAAACAACTACAACAACCACATAATATTTTTTAATGACTAACGACAACAGTTCTAAACAATAAGAATATATACTTCATGGTGTATTTAGTTGAACCAACTAATTATAAATAACTTCAAA